CCGCCATACCTCTGCACTTCACCTCCGCAGCGCCTCTGGCTCTCAGCGTGCTTTTCTTTCCTTCTAGTTGTAGAATTTACACTCAGCCAGCCTTCCTGTTGTTCTGGATGATGTTTGCTCTGTCCTTTGCGGTAATTTTCAATTGTTGTGAGAGGCGGCAATTTCCCGGTGTTTACCTATGCCGCCATCTTAGTTTCTCCTCCTATTTATTCCTATTTCTTGGGATCACCTCCCAAGTAAATTACCTGCATCCCAGTCCTTGTCTCAAGGGCTGCTCTGAGGGAAGATAGAGAGAAAGAGGGACATCCTCTGAAGGCCTAAACAGTGAAGTCTTTCCCTCCTCCTCCCACCCCCTTATGTGGAATAAGGGAACATGTTAGCTGAGAAAGCAACTACTTTAAGTTCCTGGATGCCTGCTGTTTTGGGATACCCACCTAAACTGCCATTAATAAACCCACACCCCAAACCCCCTATGCATTTTGCCTAAAGAGCGGGGGTTTGGGAGTGATGAGGGGAGAGTAAAACCTTCTGTATCACTAGGCAAATAGGATGATGGACTAGCAAGTGAACCTCTAAGACAGGTGTCCTGCAATCCAAACGCGAGTAAGAGCAGGCTGCACCCCCTGGGAAATTATGCTTTCCACTTCCTGTCTGCATCTGGCCTCAGATAGAAGGAGCTCACCACACGGGATCCTAAGCACATTTATATTTTTAGGAGCTCTGAGTTCTGTTTGGGCCATTGGGCCTATATGTGCCAAAAAAGGTAACATGGATTGTTGGTGGCTGGAGAAACAGAATGCTTGGCTTCTGCCTCAGATAGGAAACACAGCTCAGTTCAAAGCTACTGTACACATAAGAACCTACACTTCTGCCCCACTCATACTGTTTCATAGTCATGCCCACACATCCTTCGAGGCAATTCCATCACTCTAAGGGCAGGGTCACACCCCAGCTAGAAGTCCATATGGGCTATGATGAGGAGGGGATGACTATTGGGAGGATTCTAGTAGGAGGAGACCCAGCAGGAGACTCTTTGGAAATCTCCTATGAAAGGGTTCAGGGAACATAGGACCACACCTCAGTCTCTTACAGAAACGTGAGACTCTTCTGCTGACCCAGTTCAAGGGGTCAAAGCATTGAATGGCCAGCCCTTGAAGGGTTATTCAGATCTCTAGATAATTAAGCAGTCTAATGGCCAATACAAAGGATGTTTTTCTGAGATAGTGCCCACCACTCAACATATGGATAGGCCCCACTAGGTAGGGAGGACAGGTAGAGGAGTTGGCTACAGACAACCTTTGATTTCTAGCTTTTGTATGAAAGACTGATTTTTGCCTTTATCAGTCAAACAGTCATTCAAAAACCTTGTATTGAGCCCTGGCTGGTATGATTCAGTTGGTTGGTGCATCATCCTATACACCAAAAGGTGGCAGGTTTGATTCCAGGTCAGGTCACATAGCCAAGTTGTGGGTTTGATGCCCAGTTGGGGTGCATGTGGGAGGCAACTGATTTATGCTACGTTTCTCTCATATCTCTCTCTCTCTCTCTTTCTCTCTCTCTCTCATCAATAAAAACAAAACAAAAACCTGTATTGAGCACCACATCCAAGATGAATAAACTCAGCCTCTGCTCCCACTACAGCTACCATCAGAAAGCTGCTATTCCAAAATTAGTCATAGACATTTCATTTAAAATTAGATATAATTTCTTTCCCAGAAGGTAGAGGAGTCTTAAAGGACTTCTGATCATGTGGGTAGGGGCAGAGTTTTCTGAGAAGTGGATTGGGGATAACGAAAATGCTTTAAAGGAAGGGAGAAGATGAGAGAAAATTGGGGGAGGGAAGATAGAGAGAAAGAGGGACACCCTCTGAAGGCCTAAACAGTGAAGTCTTTCCCTCCTCCTCCCACCCCCTTATGTGGAACAAGGGAACATGTTAGCTGAGAAAGCAACTACTTTAAGTTCCTGGATGCCTGCTGTTTTGGGGTACCCACCTAAACTGCCATTAATAAACCCACACCCCACATCCCCTATGCATTTTGCCTAAAGAGCGGGGGTTTGGGAGTGATGAGGGGAGAGTAAAACCTTCTGTATCACTAGGCAAATAGGATGATGGACTAGCAAGTGAACCTCCAGCTGGAGATACCAGGAGACCGAAAGCTCTGACTTCTATCCCAAGGGGGAGAAGGAACAATCCACTGTTGAGGACAGAAAGGCAGGATCCTGTCATATGTATTGTGGAAACAGTGAGGCCAGGTTTCACGTGTCCAGTCCCAAGGGGAGAGTTTCTCTCTGACTCAGTGGGCAATTGGGCTAGCCCAGGGGTGGGCAAACTTTTTGACTCGAGGGCCACAGTGGGTTCTTAAACTGGACCGGAGGGCCGGAACAAAAGCATGGATGGAGTGTTTGTGTGAACTAATATAAATTCAAAGTAAACATCATTACATAAAAGGGTACGGTCTTTTTTTTTTTTTAGTTTTATTCATTTCAAACTGGCCAGATCTGGCCTGCAGGCCGTAGTTTGCCCACGGCTGGGCTAGCCGATGCCCCAACAAAATTTTCATAAGATGGGCTGTCCTGAAAATAGCAACGGAACACAGACCTACTCCTTACATCCTTACATTCTCTCTCCCTCTCTTTTTTTCTCTCTCTGCCCTGATTTTCACAAGGACAAAGGACTTGAAGCTGGAGCCACTCCACCCGCTAATCTACAGCCTGTTTGGACTAGTGAATTTCTAGCCAAGCTTCCTAAGCAAACAAAACAGGTTTCCAAACACTGGTCAGGGGAAGGAAGCCACAAGAAGGGAGGAGAAAGAAAAGGAAGCTCTGCCGAAACCGGTTTGGCTCAGTGGATGGAGCGTCGGCCTGCGGACTGAAGGGTCCTGGGTTCAATTCCGGTCAAGGGCGTGTACCTGGGTTGCGGGCACATCCCCAGTAGGAGATGTGCAAGAGGCAGCTGATCGATGTTTCTCTCTCATCGATGTTTCTCTCTCATCGATGTTTCTAACTCTCTGTCTCTCTCCCTTCCTCTCTGTGAAAAATCAATAAAATATATTTTAAAAAGAAAAAAGAAAAGGAAGCTCGGCCTTTCTCTCCTCTGTGGAGCCTCCTTCACCCACCAGTGAACATCACCTCTCCCAGTGACCATTGCATTACCACTGTGCATTAGTCACCTGCGAGGTCTGGAGGAAACATTGTTCCTACTACTGAAGGGGTCACATTCTGGCTGGGAAGGAAAACATTCAAATGAGTAGGAGCCCTAAGAGTGCATGGTGCTGAGAGAAAAGTTGGTATAGGGTACAGGTGAGTATTCCAAAAGAAAGTCTGTCAGCAAGGTGGGAACAGGAAGGAAGACTTCATTTAAAAAGTGAGTTTTGAGTGTTCCAAGATAAACGATGCTTTCATAATAAAGAGAACAGCAAGAACACAGGCACTAAGGGTGAACATCATATGGTGCTGCTCTGGAAATGGCTGGAAAATCAAAGTGCCAAGTGGGTCAGGAAAAGGGAAAAGGACAGAAACATGTGCATGTCATGTAAGTTGATTTGACTTCAGCAATAGCCCTGGAGAGAGAAGAGGAGGCATGGTTTAGACAGAGTGAGAAGTGTCAGTAAATCAGAGTTGAGAAGGCCCTCCTGCTCCAAATGAGAGCTAGGACGAAGGGGGAGAAGGGAAAAGGATCCTGAGGTTCTTGGCTTCCGTGGCAGGGGGGAGAGGTGTTGACAGCAACGTTGGAGGAAGAATGCATCTCCCACATCTTTCCTTTTGCCATACTCTACCTAGCACATGCCTGCCTCCATCTCTCACTTTGGGGACTGTGGCAAGTGGGTAACTTCTTGATATTTGTCTTTACTTCCCCCTTGCTTTGGAGGTTTATGGTTTGCCAAAGCAGAAGGAACTTGCCTGCAGGCCCTTTCCACGATGACTTTTGCTTCCCAACATTAAGTCACTGAGCTGTTTATGGTTTATGTGAGAGGCCTGGAAGGTAGGAGAAGGAAGGAGAACCTCAAGGGGCACAAGGAGACTAAGGAAAAGAGAGACAGTCGTTTCTGTAAGCCCTGAGCTGCCGTGCCTACACTCTCAGCTGAGGAGCCTCAGAGGGAATAGCTGTAAGCCTGCAGGAGGCTCCCAGAATCACCAAAGACTTTCTTTTAGCCCAAGACTGACAGAGCCAAACGTTTGGAAGCAGGAGGGTGCCTCCGCAGAATACACTGTCTCCCAGAGATACTTCCCCAGACCCTCAGAGCTGCGTTGGATAGAACCTAGGCCTTAGAATTAGACAAGGGCTGGGGGAGGGGGTCAATTGGGGGAAAAGGAGACATGTAAAACTTTAGACAATAAAAAAACAAAAACAACACCTGAGCATATAGAAGAAGAAAAACAAACAGTTGCTGATCTTATATAAAAAAATGAAAGGAAGAAAGGAAGAAAAAAAAGAATTAGACAAGGGCTGAGCCAAGGTCAGTTTCTTGACTGCCCCGTGGAATGGGAGCTGGGGCTGAGGGGACTAGGTCAATGCAAATAACAAAGGGATGCGCTCTTTCCTGCATACTTTCCACCCACTGGGCAGATCCTGGATCTCATTCATCACTGAGGTGCCAGCACTCAGCCGCGAGGACCTGCAGCAGGCGAGACAGATGGAGGAAGGGGGCGGTGAGCACGTTATTTCCATCAAACTAATGGGAACACCTGTGCCCTGGGGGCTGGCAGACTGGATGCTAGGAAGCAGATGGCGTTCCAAGGTTTCGCTTTTAAACATGCTGATAGGACATGCAAAAGTACCAAAGATTAAGCGAGGGGACCGATTCGCAGCAGCTCCGCCCGTGGGATTTCCCCAGCAGGCGAGACGCGACCTGGACCAGCCCAGCAGCACGGCGCCTGCGCACTGCAGACCCTGAAGCCCGAGCGTCCTCAGCGAGGTGGGCGGGGGAGGCCGGGGCATCCGGGTCCCTCACCCCGCCCCGCGGCTTGAATGAGAGGCGCGGCGCCCGCCCCTCCCCCGCCGGGCCCGCCCCTCCCTCGGGCCGCCCCGCGCAGTCTGCCGCCGCCACCTCAGCCGCACTAGGTCCGGACAGACGCTCTCCACCCACAGCCTGCCGCTCGGCGCTGACGGTCCCGCACGCCCGCCGCTGCCTCCGCCGGCGCTCCCGAGTGAGTGAACGGGCGAGGGCCGCGCGCCGAGGCCCGTCGCCCCCGGGCTGGGGCTGAGGGGGCCGGGCGGGTCCGGGTTCGGGATGCTGAGGAGACCGCGGGCCCGCGCCAGCCTCCCACACACTCACTCCGGCCGCTCCGGAGGGGGGCGGGGAGGAGCGGGACCGCGGCCCCGGCGGGGCGGGGCGGGGCGGGACGCGGAGGAGGGTCCGCCGAGGTCGGAGGGGGAGTCCGCACAAAGGGCTGCGCGGGCTGTCACCGGGAGGTCACGGGGGACGGTTCGTGGCGCCCCGCACGCCCCGCATGCCGGTGCCCGGCGTCGGGCCCCGGGGAGTGGGAGGCGGCTGGGATGTGCAGGAAGGAGAGGCTGGCGAGCACGGCTGCCTCCTCCGTGTTGGCGGGGGGAGCGCGCCTCGGGGAGCGCGGCGTGGCAGTGTTTTCCTGGTCCCCGTCCGCTCCTCCCCTTTCTTTGTGGCGTTGGTCTCGTGGTCGTTTGTCACTGTGTGTATCGCTGTGGTCTAGGGTGCGAGCTCCCGCCTCGGCTCCCTCGGGGCGAGTCAGGCGGCGGCCTCCCGTCTGTGGGTGGGGAGCGCGAGTGCTTGCACACGCCGGGGAATGAAGGACCCTTCTTTGTTTGCAGAAGCCTAATGGGGTGTGTGCGTGCGTGTCTCCTGTGCAATGAATCCGAGATCATGCAAAAGGGTCTGAGGAAGAAAGGACTTACTACTTCATCAGACTTTTACCCAATTCGATCCCTGCTGTTCTTTCAAACAGTATTTTGTTTGTTTCTTACTGTAAAACCAGTGGGTTTCGGTCATGGAAAATGCATGTCTGTATTCCCGTGGATCGCTATGTTTAGAGCACATTGTTTGGAGGGCTCAGTTAATGACAGTGCTCTATGTGTGTGTGCCTGGGAACACTCCGGCACACGCAGGACACTGCTTTCGGGTGTCGTTCGTTTACCGTCCACCCCTATGCTCATACACGTGTATAGAGAAGTGCTCCGGGACATCTAGGGCCCCGTTTTCTCAGCTCCTCGGTCCGGGAAGGTTTTGTTCCTCCCTGCCCCGTGTGAAGGAGAAGGCGGTCCGGCAGGTTCTGTCCACCTTGCTCTTGTTGTTAATGCTTTGGCACCGGGTTTTATTGCATATTATTACCCTGGCATGTGCCCTTGCTTTGATCTGAGTTTTCTTGTCTTCTGTGGTCTGGCTGTGCAGCCCAGCTCAGTGGCTCCTCTTACCGGACCGCTGGAAAACAGAACACCTTTTGTCGCTGTCCTCATCCCCAGAGAGAGAAGGAAACTGCAGGTTCCCACAGGCTTGCACTTGGTCAGCAGCAAGACTAGCTGCCTGACTTTGTCGTCTTCCTAAAGTTAGGAGACCCCGAGTTTCAAGCTGATGGAGACAATTTAAAAAGGAGCCATTCTCATAGCACCCGAGCTATTCCTTGCTATTTCCTTTGGACTTTTTTTTCTTTCTTTCTCTTTTTAAACCAGATTTTATAAGCTTTAGAAGATAGTTGATTGCATTAGCTTTTACAATATTTTTTATTATTCAGTTTTACCCTTATAGTTTTGTAAAGTGATGGGAAAGTAAAATTGGTTATAAGGAACACACCTCCAACATATATTTTTGTGGTGATCTTTGATTCAAAATAGTGGCGGTAAAAATAAGTAGAAGGGCTTACTGGATGATTTAAATAATTGAATTGGTTCAGTTTTAAGATTCTCATGAAGATTCTTTTTTAATCACGTGTATTTTAATTTGTGGTAGTTTTCAGCACAAAATAAAATGTAAACTAAGCAGTCTTCCACAGCATTGTTTATTCCCTCTATTAAAAACATCTGCTTTTAATTTGAAGGGGAAGCTTTCCGTCCGTTGTATTGGGATCCATTATTCTTCGTAAAATTCTTACCTGATGTTAGCATGGTCAAATTCTTTTTTTTTTTTTTTTTTGTAAATGTTAAAATTAGTAAAAGTTGACTTTTCAATTTGGAGAAGTTTTGGTTTTATGAAATAAAATTTTAATAAAAGTTTAATATCAATGAATTTTACTCAGATTAAGTTAACTTAAAAACAAGGGCTTCATTGATTTCCTTAACTGGTATCACTAATATTGAAGCAACTCCAATAACTGATAAACTGCCCACATTCAATTTTTTATTTTTATTTTTTAGGAATCCCCTTAAAACAAACTATAAGGGGAAGTCTTAGATAAACAAAGTAGTAAAACCGGAATTGTCGCTGAAATAGGCTTGCATAGTACCACAATATTGTGGAACTTTAATTTTGCAAGAGTGACTTAGCTATTGTTTGAATCAACAAAGGAACCTAAAAACATCCTGGTCTTGTTCAGGATTCTGTTAACTAAATCTTTACCAACCCATAGTTTAGCATTTCCTATGTAAGATGATTTTAAAAAGAATTCTAAAGTAATGTCTGTATCATCGAAATAGATTAAATTATGTTAAATGCTGTTTTTGTAGTAAATATATTCTTTATATTCATTAGAAATCTCAATATTGTTATGTCAGTGATGGTAATAGCAGGTATGGTGACAGTTACCCAAAACAGGGATACATTATCCCCCCAACAATGTCTGATAATAAAAAGTAGAATGTTTTTTCTGCTGAGCATTTTCTATCAATATTTGTTTTCTGTTTCAAGTGACAATTTAGTCTAAAATCAGTAGCAAAGTAACATTATAATGTATTGACTTAAACTATATGAAAATTGCCATTTTTTTTAGATTGGGGAGTAGTAAAAAATCAGCAGTTTTATATGGTTCAGCCACTTTCAACTCTCAGCAGTTCCTTCTGGTATTTACCTTTATTTCTATTTCATTTTTAATGTTTAAACTGCTATTTCTTTATTTTTCACCTTTGGATATTTGGGTATTATCTATTTTAGAAGTCTTTCCACCCCCTACTCATACTTAAATTTTATAGTTCCCAGTTAAGTCAGTTTTCAGTATTTATATGATTGTGACAATGTACCTGTTATTCACAGATGAGCCAGGTAGGGTCTAATATTACATTTTCTTTCTTATACAACTTTTGTTTCTCTTGAATTAAATAGTTACCTCTCTTATTTGTTTTTCATTTACTTTTTTTCTATGTACCAGTTACTAATTCATCCTCAAATTCTATGGCAAAACTAATAGTCTTTCAGTATTTTCAAATAATCTGTTTCATTCTTTTTTCTAGCTGTCATCTAAGACTTTCCTTTATCATTTTGGGAATTCCCTTTGCCTTCTTCCTGTGTTAGATCCTTTATTTCCTGAATCCTGTGTTTCCCTTTCTTTTTTAAATATATTTTTTTTATTGATTTTTTACAGAGAGGAAGGGAGAGGGATAGAGAGTTAGAAACATCGATGGGAGAGAAACATCAATCAGCTGCCTCCTACACACCTCCTACTGGGGATGTGCCCACAACCAAGGTACATGCCCTTGACCAGAATCGAACCTGGGACCCTTAGGTGCCTACCTCTGTCCACTGAGCCAAACCGGCTAGGGCTAGCTAGTATTGTTCTTGAGAAGTCCAATGCCATTCTAACCCCCATTTTCCTTTTTCCTCTCACTCTGAAAGATTTTAAAATCTTTTGTTTATTCCTGGTGTTTCTGATATTTCATGATGTTTCTTAAAACATCTTTTTTTTTTTTTTTGCCATGGGACAGATAACATTTTTCCCAAATGACTATATGGTATATATATGTCCATGCAAACACTATACACACGTCCCATCTCATCCAATATGCTATTCTTTGTGGTGTTGACATGCCTCCATCAAGAGGTGGGGGTCTTTGTTTCCTCTCCTTGAACCTGTGCAGACATAAATGCTCTCCAGAATGTTGGGTCTTAAGACAAAATCATGATTTAAGAGCACAGCAAAATGATGAAGAGCATGCACCTTGTGTGTGTATGGGAGGGGGAGGTAGGGGGTATCTTTTTATTTTTTACTTTTAAATGGAATCATCACTGAAAATGTCAGCATCAGAGAAAATTTCTTCAAGCAGTGAAATGCAGTCACCTTTGAAATCAACACAGAGACTACCAGGTACATTTTTAAAAATCCACTGTAGGGCGTGGCAAAACCATTAATGACCGAAAAAGAAACACTCTTTAAGCTTCACGATTAAATATGTCATGACTAAATATGACATGTATTATTTGCAACAATTTCTGTGATGAGAAGATAGACAGTGGAGCTATGTAGACCACAGCTTGATTGGACATTGTCAGTGACTTTGTTTATCTCATAGATTTTTTTTTAACCCATCAATTTTTTTTCCCCCTATTTACAGCTCCTTCTCCCTCATCTAGCTTTTCCATGAGTGGCTGAATATTACTGGAAAACTTCAGAGTCATGATTAAAAATCTGAAGTGGGCTCTAGCCCTGGCTGGTTTGGCTCACTGGATAGAGCGTTAGCCTGCAGACAAAAGGGTCCCAGGTTCGATTCTGGTCAAGAGCATGTACCTTGGTTGCGGGCACATCCCCAGTAGGGAGTGTGCAGGAGGCAGCTGATCAATGTTTCTCTCTCATCGATGTTTCTAGCTCTCTATCCCTCTCCCTTCCTCTCTGTAAGAAAATCAATAAAATATATTAAAAAAAAAAAATCTGAAGTGGGCTCTCAGCACCGCCCAGGAAAAAGCTACGAGATTCCCCTTTCCATACTGATAAGCAGGCCTCATACTTCATTGAGGGTTTAGAAGTATTCAGATACCCTTCATCTTTCCATCACTAAATCTAGAAATTTACCTTCCTTAAGACTCATGTTTTCTGTTTCTATCAGAGGTTAACTCCCCTCCAACTGTATTCCCTCATACCTACTCAAGGACTCGACTCCTGCATTTGTGCCCTCTCTAGCATTAGCAACTCCCCAGGGTACCATTCATATCAACATACACACATGCTCTGATATTGCCCATCTTTGAAAACTGAAGAAAAAATTACAACAAACCACTTTTCTATGACCTCGCATTCATCTCCTGTTTACTTTC